CATGTTGGCTAATGGTTGTACCTTACTCAAAATTTGAAAGTTGTACCTTGATAAAACCATACACTTTTTATGGGATGGAGTTTGTCAGCTAAGGTTCAATTTCTTGACTTCCTTTTGTCCCAAAAGAAGTTGTATTTATGAAAACGAGTTAGTTTTCATGTTGGCTAATGGTTGTACCTTACTCAAAATTTGAAAGTTGTACCTTGATAAAACCATACACTTTTTATGGGATGGAGTTTGTCAGCTAAGGTTCCCTGGTGACTTGTCAAATTGCATATGTCAAAAAGCAACATGTATAAACTTTTGTTTATTATTATTGTTATTATTTGAAAAGGACTTTTATTGTTGTTGAATGTATTTCTTTCCATTTCATTCTGTCAATTTTCAGTTGCAAAATATCAGCACCAACAGACTAAAAGAACAATCATGAGACTGGAACAGGGAGCTGATGCTCACATACAAAGATTGATTGCCTCTCAAAAAGCATTTGCTATTCTATATAGTCGTTGTTCAACCCATTTTATTAAAAAACCAGAGGTATTGCCGTTGTGTTCGATTTATCTCTGATCTTATGGTGACTTATATCTTAGATTCCTTGCATGATTCAATGAATGAATGATAGGTTTTGGTTGGGAGGGGAACTGCAGACACCGAAGTTGATATTGATTTGAGCAAAGAACTTCGTGGTAGTAAAATTTCTCGCCGGCAGGTAAACTCTATGATCTGCCCTTAATTTTTTTATGATGAGTTGATCTTTAAAGATATGTTTGGATCCTGATAAACGTTATTGATGGGGAAATTATCGGTGTGTTTGGGTGTGATTTTGAACAAATAAAGATGACCTTGAGTATCTAAAATAGGCGAGTTTGCTTACGGAGTATTTTTTATTTTTCTCTCAAGATTCATGAGTTTTAATCTATCTTTTATTTTCTCTCAAAATTCCCTTTCCTTGCCATTTTCCATGCCTTAAACTTACCCAAATAACTTAGTGTATGTGTGAAAATCTAGCTCGTAAGACAGATAAGCACATAACCAGTGCTACCAAATGGGGCACTGAATGATGTTCTAATTCATTCTATTCTTCTTTTTTTGTATCTCACTTGTAAGGCAATCATAAAGATCAACATGGATGGAGCTTTCCTTTTGCAAAATGTTAGCAAACATTTGATTCACGTGAATGGAAAAGAAATAATGCCACGCCAAAGTGTTCATCTTACACAAAGTTCTCTGATTGAGGTATGTATGGCTTATTTTTCCCAGTGCTTGATCTATATCATCGTTGATAAAGACTGTAGATTATTTGATCTCTATGTGTTTTTCATGCTATGAATGGTTAATTAAATCTCTCTCGCCCAAAGTATTGTCAAATTACAAAATGATTATCAAGGTTATGAACATTACAAATAAGCACAGTGAGCATTTCAAATTTTCTCAAACAACATGGAATGATAACGTCATATAGTGGTATTAGTGGGAATTTAGTTTTTCCTACTAAATTACCTTCAAGATTTGGCGTGAAGATTCATTTTGAGATAATATTTTAGGTGATCTTGTGACCAGAACATGCCATTGAAATTGAAAGGCAAGTTTTATGGAGCAGTGATCAGGCCTGCCATGTTTTATGGGTCAGTGGGGCAGAGTGTTGGCCAATTAAAAACACCCATATGTAGAAAATAAGGGTTACCAGGATGGGGTGTGCAACATAATAGGAGGAACATGATTCATAATGATGAAATTCAGGACAAGTCGGAAGTGGTTTCTAGGGAGGAAAAGATGTGTAAATCTAGTTTGAGGTAGCTGAGATATGTGCATATGAGCAATGATGGACCTGTGGAGAAGTGTGGCTGTAGCGGATGAGGGAGACCGAAGAAGAGTTAGGGCAAAGTTGTTAGACAAGACGTGAGGGTTTTGCTGCTCACGTAGGAAATTACATGAGTTAGGGAATTCAGAGGTGGAGGATTTAAGTTATGCATGAGTTGGGTTTCCAGGTATTTCTTTCTTTTCCCCCCTTGTCTCGTGTTTTAGGAGGTAGGCATGTAGTGGGGTATATTCTTTGTATTTTGATATTTGTGTTTGGTTAGATTACCTTAAATGTTTGATTGTTTGCTCCCGTATTTTGTTTACCTTTATTTCTCTTGGGGAAGTGTTGTAATGTGTTTCTCTAATTCTTTTGTTCTTGTGAGACGAAGTCTTTTTGAAATAGCCTTTGTGGCATGTGCCTTATATAGGTAGACTTAATAGGTAAGGTCTGCCCACTCACCCACTAGACCCCACTTGTGAGGAGATTTCACTGGGTAGATTGTTGTTGTTGACGTTGTATTAAAAAAACCAAATTCAACATAAAGATTAATACGGAGTATCATTTTATTCTACAATCTTTCAGGGTCAAAAGCGTCGTTCGTTAAAAATCTGACTTCGGAAACCCCGAGGGACCGGGGACGGTAGATTTAATTAACCATTTGATTGAAAAAAGCGATGTCAATAATTGTTGCATGCAGGTAAGAGGAATGACATTTGTATTTGAGATGAACCGGAACCAAGTAAAGCGGCTTGTTGATGGCATGAGACATAACCAAGAAAATTGAAGCTTGACAAAGTACTCATTATTAGGTACTAGTACATCAGAAGCGTCAAAGTTTTTCGTCGCGCTTCCAGCCAACACTCACGTAAAAGGTTGATTCTTTCTCTCCTCTCCTAGAATGTGTAAATGTAGGAATTTTTTCATGCATCAGCAGAAGAAGTTTTCTGCATTTATTATTTTTTAAAAATATTTTTTTCTAAACTTCACTTCCTTTTTATAGTTAGAACTAATTGATCTGCTGTGATCCTGTATAGTATAGGGAAAGCATTTGAATGTTAGGCCCATGAGATGTTAGTTAAGAGGTGAAATTGCCAGTTTTTTGTGGATAACGGCTCAATAGTTGTTTGTTATCCATATGTTTGGAGAGCTTTTTATCAATAGAAAACACTTGTTTGAGTTTTAAGTTATTGGTCAAACGACTGTTCGTAAGAAATGTTACGACCGAAAAGTTGGATTACAAAAAGTTTGTTTCCCAAACTTTTCGTGGGCAAATTTTTCGGTCTAGAATAACTCATCTTACCAAACACGGAGTACTATTTTACCCACAGAGTTGTCACAAACAGTAAATACAAAGACTTACAGGAACCGTTCACACAAACACGCACTCACACACAAACACAAACACACACAATTCACGATTATTGCAAGAATGGCCAAGCCTAGGTAGTTGGATGGCAATGAGCTTTGCATAAATAGGTGCAGTCATATAAGCAATTTCGTGCACCACAATGAAGAGGGCAATCTAACCTTTCCCCCCTGCACTTTACCCTCCCCATACACACTGCATATTCTCCAACCATATACCCTCCATTATTCTTCATGCCATTCTTTGATTCCTTCCTGCAACCCCATGCCCA